AAGTGAAAAATGGAGATCTAAATGAAGAAACGATGTATTTCAGCAAGTATTAAAACATTTTAGGCCTTCTTCAAAATACCTATGCCTACAGCAGATGATTTTTTTGCCGTAAAACCAAAATAATTTCATCCATGCCGACATTCTATGGCCCTGACTGAACTCTGTAGAAACTTCACATCGATCTTCGCATCGCGATGTAAAACAAAATGTCGGAAAACTTTTCTTTGACGCATGCGCATTTGCATAAATGTCTACACACACACATACACACTACACACAATAAAAAACATAGGAAATAGCAAGAGTGATTACAATAGTTCCTATTGCATTACATGCATAGGAACTAAAAATCTGTATCTCATTAACCATTCCTGAGTTTCTGTCAAACAACCTTTTCATGTCTTAGAAAAATAGGCTGTATAACATATTGAAAAAATGTTTTTCCTCCGGACCCTGGCTTTAAGGCAACTATAATCGCTGCAGCATCCATTCAGTAAAATAATTATTACCATAATTATTATTAATATTACTACATATTGAAGTTACTTTCATAATAATCATAACATTAAACTCTTTCATTTTATAAAATAACAATTATATTACTTATTATTATAAATTGTATAACTAATATTATTAATGTCAGTTTTATCTTTATAACTATCTGGTTTAATATGCTATATCATTTTTTAAAATAAATTTTGTCAATTAACAAGTCTTAATTTTGTGTTTAGTCAAGTGTTATTTGTACCTTGTACAATTTGAATGTTCGGTTAAGCATCCTATTCCTGGTCATATTCCTACGGGCAGGAGTATGCATGACTCAAAAACACACAAGTTGACGTAGACTTATAGAATGCATATTCAAATTTCAAGCTCTATTTGTATTTTAATAAGCTGCTCCCTACTTCATGGTAGTATTTTTTTAAAATTTCATTGCATGCATACAAAAATAAGGCCAGTCAGACCTTTTGCAATTATATAGTCTTTGATGTTATTTTACGAAGAATAAACCCAAATCCAACAACAGGCAGGTGTCAGGAGACTTCCATTGTTTGACTTTGCTTAGAGTTTATGTGGAAGTGGTTGTGATTGCATGTTCGCATATATAAATAATAATATACTTACGACAAGTCCTAGAACTTTGGTTTGTAGAGATGCTTCAGACGGAAAGGACTGAAAAATAACCCCCCAGAAATAATGTTAATAATAATGATAAATTAATAAAAAACATCAGTAATAGTAATAAATTGCAGGTCCCTAGATTGATTAATGGAAGGTCCAAAGAAATTCCAAATGCGCAGACTCTACATTGATCAATGGATACTCCCAAGAATGATTACCTGATGGTCCATAGAATAATCAAAGTGAGTTTCCTATAATGACCAATTGAGGTCCCTAGAATGTTCAAATGGTGGTTCATAGAATGACCAATTACACAGGTCTCTAGTATGGTCAATGGGAAATCCCTAAAATGATGAGGATGGAATGTTTCTAGAATAATCAATGGGAAGTCTTTAGAATGATCAATGGCAAGTCTTTAGAATGTTTGATGGAAAGTATTTAGAATGATCAATAAGAGGTATCTAAAATGATCATTGGCAGGTACATAGACTGATCAATGGCAAGTCTTTAAAATGATCAATAGAAAGTATTCAGAATGATCAATGGGATGCCTCCAGAATGACCAATGGCAGATCTCTAGAATGATCAATGGGATCTCTCCAGCATGATCACTGGCAGGTCCCAGGAATGATCAATGGGATGTCTCCAGAATCACCAATGGGAGGTTCCTCAATATCTAATGCATTCTAAAATCTTAATTTTACACACCTCCAGTATCTTTATAAACAGTTCCAAGCCACCTTCATTAACAAATATAGCACATGTTGATGGTGATTCATCAGTCAGGTTCCAGAGGGCGCTAAGAGTAAATTTCAGGATTATGTCAGCGGTCTGCATATCTGCTTTCTGCTTAACAATCTGCAGTAATTTCTTTAGAAAGAAACAACAAACAAGTGGTTTTATTAAAAAATGTGAACTTTAGAGTTGATTAATACAGGCCTCCCTCCAATCAAAGACCATTTTTGGGACCTGTGTTTCAATGGTCTGTAGCAGCTTTGGTCTCTAATTAGAAAAAAAAGACTTATTAAAATGGGACTTAATTGGAGGTGGTCTTTAATTGGAGGGGTTTAAAATTAGAGGGAGACCTGTATATTAGGTTTATAAAATAGAGTGTTAAGAATTTTTATCTTTAATTAATAGAGGTTGATTACTGTAATTAATTGATGGAATGAAAGGGCAACATGTGGTGAGGGCATTTACCTGCATATTCCTCTTTGTGCCCAGTTCAGCTGTCTGCTTAGTTGAGATCTTGGCAGCCAGAATGGAGCAGATAGCAACTGCCATTCGAATCATTGACTGGTCATCAAAAGCAAACAAGCAATCCATGACCATACGAGAGGCTTGGAAGCGATCAAAATCCTGCAAAGAGAACAACATTCCCTTAATCAACATTATTTTTATTGCAATAATATTAATAACAACAATATTAGCAGCAACAATTACAACAAAGAATCTGTTGTCCCACATCAGTGGAAACGAGCTCAAGTAGTTCCAATTCCGAAAGCGAGTCGTGTTCCCTTTTCATTGAGCAATATGAGACCTATTGCCATTACAGATCATTTCGCTAAGATTGCGGAACATTTTATCGCTGCTGACACAATTGCCACAATGAAGGTTAAGCTAGACAAGATGCAGTTTGGAAATCTTAAAGGAATTTCAACTAATCATTGCCTTATTAATATTTTAAATAAACTTCATAGCCACGCAGATACACCTCACGCTGTTTCATCTATTCTCTTAACGGACTTCTTGAAAGCGTTCGACCTCATTGATCATTCGATTGCAATCCGTCGGATTTTGGATATGTCTGTCCCTTCTGCTTATGTTTCTTGGATTGCCGAGTTCTTAAGTGGTCGCATACATCAAGTGAAATACCAAGGTGTATAAGAGACAGGAGTATGCATGACTCAAAAACACACAAGTTGACGTAGACTTATAGAATGCATATTCAAATTTCAAGCTCTATTTGTATTTTAATAAGCTGCTCCCTACTTCATGGTAGTATTTTTTTAAAATTTCATTGCATGCATACAAAAATAAGGCCAGTCAGACCTTTTGCAATTATATAGTCTTTGATGTTATTTTACGAAGAATAAACCCAAATCCAACAACAGGCAGGTGTCAGGAGACTTCCATTGTTTGACTTTGCTTAGAGTTTATGTGGAAGTGGTTGTGATTGCATGTTCGCATATATAAATAATAATATACTTACGACAAGTCCTAGAACTTTGGTTTGTAGAGATGCTTCAGACGGAAAGGACTGAAAAATAACCCCCCAGAAATAATGTTAATAATAATGATAAACGCATTCAAAAACGTGCCTGTAGAATCATCTTGGGTAAGGGGTATACCACATATGCAAATGCTCTGGCTACATTGCACCTTGATAGACTAAGTCACAGGCGTCGAGACCTTTGCTTTTCCTTTGCTACATCCATTATAAACCCCTCTTCAAATTTGTTTTCATTATTGCCTGTTAGAGGAAATGTTGTCCATAAATATAATACTCGTTCTGCTAACAAGCTCCGTAACATTGTTTGTAAAACGTCGCGCCACAGGAGCAGTCCTTTACCGTATTTGGTGAATCTTATTAATGACTATGATCTTGAGCGTTGAACTGTGCTCCTTTCACCTTTTGATGCTTATTAACGAATTTTTTTTCCACTTTGTAATCATGAAATGTAATTCAACTCTTAATGCGTACGCATTAATGAGCTGCCATATTTTATGAAATTGTTGTTGTTTTGTGGTTTTTGAATAAAGAAATACCGAGATAAGAAAAAAAAATGCTAATTACAAATAAAACAAATATTTTTTAATATTTCTTTTGCATCCAAAAGCAAGTATAGACGCCAGTTACAAGTTGAATGATGCTTTATAAACTAAGTCTCATTATGAAGCCTAGGGACTTACCAGGGAAAATGCATTGAGCAACTCTTTCAGAATGGATATGGGTCCTATACAAAACTTACAATCATTATTATTACTTAAATTAGAACTGTTAACTTACCACATCCTGCAGAATGCGATCACTACACATGGTTAACAGCGCATTTTTCTGAAGCTGCAAAGACAAAAACATTATGTGTGCAATATATTAAAGATATACATTCTGAGTTGAGGTATAAATTGTATATTCTTACATATAAGACAAGGTTAAAATAGCAAATTTCTATCGAAAAACAAGGTTTGTCTCATACGCATAACACATGCAAATTTTTTATTTTAAATCATGTTCACCTTATGTATGGATTGTCTGTAACACGTGAATTAACTATTAATGAAATAAAGCTACTAAATGTAAACACAATTTTAAATGTGGGGAACTAAGATTTCAATGAACATTCAAAAGCCCATAAAAAGGTAGTATTTGGAAGATTGACCCTACACATGGCTTCGTTTTTAGCTAGCTGGAGGCAGTATTAAGACAATAAAAAGCAGCTTAAAGTAGGAATACCAACAATGAAACAAAGGGTTCGTCTTATACGCCTGACATATAAAAATTGTCCAAAAAACTTCTCAAACTCAGGGGTTATCATATACATGGATCACAATATATGCCAGTATACGGTAATATCAATATTTGAATTAATTACTTTGTATATATAAGCATGTTAACAGCTTTCAGTTGAAAATTAAAACACTACCTCACCAACAGATTCTCTAATTTCTTATGGTTCCATTACTGCTTAAAAAGAATTGATGACAAATCACTTTTTTAAGATTACCTGTTGTTGATCAGGAAAATTGCGCATGGCTTTTAATGTCAGCTCAATCATTGACTTCAGTATGGAAGGATGAACCTCCTCCCCGAGTTGCAGTTTTGTTAGGTTATACAGACAAGCACTAGAAAGAAAATGCAATTATGTGATTAAAATATTGCTTTATGGATCTAACTCAAAAATATAAATATTATCACAAATACAAATATATATTTTCCTAAACATATCAACTATAAAAATATTTTATTGTCATAAGTCTATTATCATTCAACATTTGAAATAAAGCTTCATAAAATGTATGCAGTAGAACAACAACAAAATATACTGTGAAATGTTGTAAAATTAAATTAATGTTCAGACATGGTCCATGAATTCTTAGGAGGGGTGGGGGTGTCTAGGTGCCCTGGTGGAGTTCAGGGGAAAAACACCTGTTAGGGTTAGGGGTGAGGTTCATTGGAGCTGGTGCATTCTAGCATTTAATGGTGAATTTCATAATTTTGATGGATTTCTCAAATGCACATAACGGTTGGTTTGGTTTACTAGTGGGGTTGCTAGGTAATCTCAAGCAAGTCAACAGGATAAAAATCTGTGGATATTTATTGAGAGTTGAAGGGAGAAGCATCAAGAAAATTCACCCTTGTAAGAAGCTATAAACAATGTGATGGAATATAATTAAAATAATTTAAGACTACCTGGCTGCCATCTGTACTCCAAGGTGCATACTGTGAGCCCTCATACCAGGAAGAACAAGCTGTAAGAGATGGGTGAAAATGTATACCGTAATCATTATATTTCTTAAGTTGTCCTACTTGCTACTGTACATTCTACACAATGGGATCAACCGTAAGTCCTGTCTCTTATACACATCTAGATGTGTATAAGAGACAGATGTTATCCTGCCTAAAGATGTTTTAAATTAAAAAAAATATTGTCATGGGCGGCACCTGTAGGGGTAGCTTTTGGGTTACATCTATCGCCGCCAGGGTTGGCGCCTATATTTAGTGGTTAGCCTTGAAGTTACATCTATCGTCAGGGGTTGCACCTATATTTTTAGGTATAGCCTTGGGGTTACATCTATAATCAAGGGCTGTATTCATATTGGTGGTAGCGTCCATAGGCCCAATCGGTGGCTACATTTGTCATCAGGGAATGTATGGGTTGTATCTATTATCAGAATTATTATTGTACATATGGGTTACATCTGCCATGCATCAGGGATTCATCTATCACCATATGTCGTCTTACTAAATCGTACAAGTACATACTAAAACGCGTACACTGTAAACTTTCATACACGCACAACTATGCTTAAAATATTTACTTCATGTTAACCTAAGTTAGTAAAACTGTCAGCTTCGATACAATACAATCACTATTCTACCAAGGGATATGGAAATTGATAGAAATAGAAACGCACGCGCGTCTCATAAATATTTAATAAACTAGGTGGAAAAGGCGATAACTTCATACATACAAATATAATTGCATGAAAATAGCATATAGC